CCTGCCAGCGGGCCTGCTGGGACCCCGCCGTGCCTTCTGGGGACTGCTGCTCCTCCTGCCCAGGTAAGTGGGTCCTGGAGTTTCACTACCGGGCTGGATGTGAGGAACCCAGGTTCAGAGAGGGACCGTAGCTTGCTCAAGCTCACACAGCCAGCCCTTGGCGAGCTGAAACCTGTGCTGGGGCTTTCCTGCCCTCACCCGTGCTCCTCAGGCCACACTATGACGTGCTATGTGACAAGTTTGTTTGTTTACTGCGCCTTTTTCTTCTCCATTATCTCCTTCCTTAATTCTCTTCCTCTGCTTTCTTCCTTTTGGAGAAATTAGAATTTAGGAATGGAATCAGCTTTGCAGAAGGGTAATCATTAATACGTATGAAGCACTCATTAAGTGTCAGGGACCATCATAACATCATATGTCTTATTTCATTCTCTTTTCACAGCAACTCTTTGAGATAGGTACCATTATCGTCCCCATTTTCCAGGTGAGGAAGCTGAGGTGCAGAGAGGTGAAGTGACGTGCTCAAGGTCACACAGCTGAATGGCAATAGCGCCAGGATCCTAGCCCAGAGTCAATGCTTTTATCTCCTATGCTGTCTTGACTCCTGAATCTTATTCTCATCTGTTTGTCTTTCTCTGTCATTCATGTTCGTCCCCGTGGATCATTTTGCAGAGGTATAAACAGGACATCGGCAACCTGCTGTAACACATAGTTTCAAAGTATTGATGTGGCCCACAGCTGGGCATTTAAAAATCTCCCAAATAGTCTGGCTTGCCTCCCCCTCTGCCTCTTTGGACATTTAGGTAGTTCCTTTCTTTCTTTTTTTATTCTATCCATAATGGACCTACTGTGAAAAATCTTTGGTCAGACAACTTTTTTTCAAGTTTTGTGAGCTGTGTTTGGACCTCATGGTTAATAGTGGAGTAACTGGGTCATAGCACGTCGGAATGGTTTGGTAACTGGGACAAGGTGACCAGGTGCAGTCCGAGAGAAAGAGGAAACTTACCGTCCAGTAGCTGGTTCCCCGTATGCCCGCCAACTCTACCCTGTATGTTTTGAATTTAATTTTTCCCATTTAACATGTCTATAAAGTACCTGAAATGTGGCTCTTTTACGTTTTTTTTCCCCAGCCTACGCCATCCCTGGCAACTCATGGCAGCCCAGCTCCAGGTCGAGCTGTTGTTCAGCATCTTAGCTGTAGAGGGCAGTGTCACTGGCTCTCATATGTAGGATCCGAACCGGGGGCCCTCTGGCATCCCAAGCCAGTTCTTAACCAACGTGCCACTCGGCCGGCCCTATTTTATGTTTTTTTAAACTTCTAGGAAGACTGTGAATTTTTCCGCTGATTTCTGGCCTGGACTTCCTCATGTATCAAATATCTCTTAACGCCTTTGGGCTTTCGCAGAGGATGCTCTATACTTAAAGCAGCTCTTCAGATCTGAGGATAAAGAGCAGCTGTCTGGACTGGGGCTGGGGCTGGAGACATCCTGAGCCCCGACAGCCATTACAGTGGCAACCATTGAGTGCTTTATAGACGCTTCTGCAGTTTAACCACCACCAAGTCCTCTGAAAGCTGATAGATATTATTCCCCCTGCTGTCTAGGGACTGTTCACTAGCTAAGGTGCCAAGCAGTGTACGGAGCATTTTACCTGTATGATCTCATGTAAATGCTCCCGGAAATATTCGAGAGTGGCTGTTACTATCCTCTCCATTTTGCAGGTGGGGAAATGAAGGCTCAGTGAAGTTAAGTGTCTGTCTTAAGACCGCGCTCTAGTTGGCGGTGTCGGACTCAGGGCCAGGTCTCTCTGATCCCTTACCCCCTGCTCTTTCCCACTGTGTCTCCTGCCTCCAGATGGGGAAATTGAGGCCCAAAGAAGTGGGGTACGGAGCTCCTTCTAAGGAGAAACCACTGTTTATTGAAATAGAGTATGAATTAGGTTTCTTTTGGTAATGAAAAAAATATAACTTTTTTTTTTTTTAGCCGAGCCATCCTGCCACCTGTTGGCAGCTCAGCGGCAGCTCAGCTCGGGCTGGGAATCGAACCGCTGATGCTCAGAGCTTGCACACTTGAGCGAGCTCTTAACCAACTGAGCCACTTGGCCGGCCCCCAAAACATAACGTTTTTGAGATGTAATTTACATGTCATGTAATTCACGCACTCCAAGCACACAGGTCAGTGGGTTTGGGTGTATTCACAGAGCTGTGTGACTGTCCTTTGATGATTCTTAAAGTGTAATTGGTCCAGTTTTTAATGTGTTTTGACCACACCTGCCTCCTCCCTGATCATGCCTTTATCTAACACTCTTTCTTCTTGTGCTTCTTCACTCTCCATATTCTTTTTGCCTACACTCCCCTCTTTNGCCTCCTTGAAGTACTTGCTGGCTGGGTTGATGCTGTGCGTCTTCAGGTAGTCCTTCAGCAGGCCATGCTGGATCAGGTTCTGCCTCAAGGACTTCTTCTTGACTAGGGGAACCCTGTGGAGAGCGTTTGCAAACAGGTGATTTGGAGAAGGCAGAGTAATTAGGCAAGGAGCCTGTTCATGGGGTGCTGTGGAAGCCCTGGAAGGAAAAGGAGGCTGGCCCAAGAGAGGACGGAGGAAGGAAGTCAAGAGGGGAGATGCTCCCATTTGGGGCACAATAATACAAAGAGGTTAAGTGGTGGTCCAAAGTTGCCTGGCCCAGTGACGGAGCTGGGAAGCAAACCCAGGCTGCAGTTGAGGGCCTCGGCTAGTCACCACTTCTGCAGTGCTGACCCCCTAAAAGGGCAGAGAGAGCAATAAGGAAAAAGGCTTGAGATGGTCAAGAAAGAGAGAGAGGCGTTGTATGAGGGAAGAAGAAAAATATGGCAGGAAAGGAAGGCAATGTGACAGTGGGCAAAAGGAAATAGCCCCTTGGGAGCTGCTCCTTGTGCTGCGTGTCCCCCAGACTCACTTGATGATGACACACTCAGAGAGCACCACCAAGCTGAGCAGCAGCAGCCACTTCATGGTTCTTCCTGGGTCTCAAGTCTCCAGAGAAGGGAAGGTGGGTGGAAAGCGTACAGCAGCAGGCAGTTGCTGCTCCTTATATACAGCCTAGGTGCCCTGGAATCTATCTTATCAGCCCTCAAATGTCACCCATTTTCCTAACCCCAAACAGGAAGTTTCCTGATAAGATTGTCCCCGACCCTGAGCCATGTTCTCAGAAGTTTCCAGCTGAGTAGCTTTCCATTGTAACCAAATCCCACGGTCGGTCGGGATGGACCTGCAGAGAGGGAGTGATGGAGTGGAGGCTTATTTCTGAAATGCTGAAATGCATTAAAACTGGACAAGCTGAATATTTTGACAAAGTTGGTCTAAAGTGCACTTCACATGGAGCAGATGTCAAAGGAGCTCAGTGTACCCTGGTTTGTCCTGGTGGGACAGACGGCTGTGGTTTTTGGAGAGCAACTCCCCACTTTGTGTTGGGCCATGTTCCCATAGTTGCAACTCCCAAGCACATCCATAGGTCGGTGGTTTGGGACTCAGGACCCGTTTCCCCACAGTAATGTCGTTACATGGGTTTGTTGAGTGTCTAACTAGCCTACGGGCCTTATTATGCTCTTGCCACTCATGGCAATTGGGCCAAGTCATCAGAAAGCAGTGCGTGCAGCACAGAGGGAGAGGAGGGAGTGAAGCAAGTGGCAGAATGCTGCCTTCCTTGAGACAGACTGGGGTTGTCTTTGGAATCTATGCTCTTCACTTTCTGCACACCTTCTCTTCCTACTGCTTCTCTCCTACCCTCTCAGGTTGCTCGAAGCCTCCATCTTTGAGGTTCCACTGGGTCTGACTCTTCCAGGTTCTCTGTGCTTAAAACATGGCTGAATCCGCTGTAGTGGAGCAAAGCAATCTGGGAAAATTTATGCTAGTGTGTGAATGACTTAGAAAGGTTCTCTTCTTAAAAGAGGATGTTTTCCAACCCAGCGGATTCTCTACTTCATGGGGTTTATTTAGTAGAAAAAGTAGAATGAAGACTTTGATTCAAAAATTGTGAAGGAGGGAAATATGCAGGAGGGGGGTCACCAGTAGGCAGTGAGCCTTATCTGCAGATCTTTTTTTGAAATCAGACTGCCTGGGCCACCCCTGTTTTTTCCAGCATTAGGAGACACAGATGCTGAAAAAAGGTCCAAATTTCCCCCCATGCCTCTGGGTGACTATGGAGGGGTGGGCAGTGCGGATCAAGTTCAGGGCCAGTGGTGGTTACTACAAAACACATCTCTATTTCAAAATCACCTGTTAAGACTTCTTCATGTCCCAAATGTGGATCCTTGACCCGTATCTGCCACTTTTTCATCTTTTGGTGCCTGCTTCCTCTCCTCTCCCTTTTCCTCCCCCTCAAGCCTTTCTCCCGTCATCTGCACTCTCACCTTTGGGCTGATCTCAGCACTTACTGATGGTCCTGAAGAGGCCTGCCTAAGTCTTGGGAGCACCAGCTGAAGGTGCTCCTGGATGAAGGAGACCGCTGGGAGGGAGGGAGGGAGGGAAGGGCATATGCTGGGAGTGGGAGCTCACCAGGGTCTTCAAAGGAAATTGGTATCTTATGCTGGGCAGCAGGTACACGGTGCTCACCATTATTCTTTATACTCTACGTATATATTTTGCATATATAAAACTGTTCATTCTAATTTTTTTTTTAAAGAAAAAGAAAGGAGGACTGAGTCTTCCATGCACACTTTTCAACTTGGAAATGAAGGGAAATGTGGTAGGAGGGTGAGTCGGGAGCGCTCGGGGCTGAGATGTGGAGAATGAACCGTGAAGAACATTACGTGTATTGTATTCATCTTTCATCTTCCTCAACAAATTATATGATGCATGGAAGTGTTCAACACTATTTTAATTAATCCCAGTAATGCCAGCCATTCAGGTAACGTACACAGAGTGATATGGTTCGCNATGTGAGGAGAAATACCAAAGAAGAGAAGCAACTCCACAAAACATTTTTCAGGAGGTTATGTGTTTATTCTACATTATTAGGGTGATGGGGGAGCAGGGCCAAGATTCCACCTTCACAATCCCACAGGAAGAACCACTGGGACAATTAGATACATGGAGAGTGGGCGCAGGACTGGGGCTGGGTCTTCCTGGGAGGTGGCCGGGAGGACTCAGGCTTAGGCCACGGGAGCCAGGCCCACCTGGTTGTTCCCCCTGTCGAAGACGGTAAAGTACTGACGAATGAAGACGTCACCCAGGATCCAGAGCTCTCCGGAGCTGGTGGGGAGGTTCATGCCCTGGAAGCCGCTGGTGCAGCCCTGCTGGCTCTGGAGAAAAGAAGAATCAAACCAGAAATGGGACATAGACTCAGCAGTGACAGATGCTGGGGACTAAGCATCATCAGGGGCCGTGGTCAGCTGCGAGGCACGTGCAAGGAAGAGCTTCCTGGCTCATGTCCGGGGACTTGGCTCTTCTGGGCCTGGCGTCTGCCTGCATAAGCTGCTCACTGCACTATTGGTTTCCAGGGATTACTAGACATTATCCAGCGTTTCTGGCAGATGCATAAACCCTGACATCAGCGTCGGCACTAAGGGGTTTAGGGAGGACTCAGCTGCTGGGAAGGATTTTGGAAGCCCTGATGTCACAGCCTGTTGTCATTATTCTGATCCCAATTGGTGACAAATCAGGTCAGCTGTTAGTCCTTTTCAGTCACCAGGGCATTGGGCCATCACTTTGGGCACACATTAGATAAAGCCCCATTGCTACGGCCTCACGCTCACCCTTACTAATTAATCAGCATCGTGGGGGAGCAGCCCGAACATCAGTACTTCTTGTCCAATAACGTTGACCCACTGGGCAAAACTAGTTTCCCACCTGGCATTATCAGAGAATATAAAGGGTTTTCTTGGGGTTCATTTGACTGAAGATTTGTTACTTGGTAGAAACAGTAGGAGTATATTAGCCCTGACTCTATGCGAGTTATGATTTCCATTTGCTCAACCCCTAGTAGTGTTGATGTGGTCAGTCTCCCCTAACCACACTCAGCATCAACAGGCTAGTAATTGAGACCCAGGGCTTGGACTAGAAATTCTTTCTTTTGCCTCACTTTTTCTCTTGGGGGGTGGGGACTGCATCCAAATTCTCATTCATGCATTTATTTTTAATGTATTATCGTCTTTTTCTCCGGAGCCCGTCCAGAGCAGATGTCAGCTGCAGCTTGTCGGAGTGAGCTTTCCCTTGTGCCAAGCAGGAGGATGTGGCCACATTCTAGGCAGGCACATCTAAGCGGAAGGCCCAGAGCCCCCTTACCTGCAGGATGTAGGCACTGGGGGGCAGAGGGTACTGGATGCCATTGATGGTGAAGACGATGTTGGGCAGGCTGTTGATGGCAGAGCAGCTGACCACCATCTGGAAAGAGCAAGGCTTAGAAGGGCTGCATTCCTTCTGCGCTACAGACCTAGCACCTGGGTCGAGGACAGGGCAGTCAGGACTGGGCTCACCTCGCCGTACGAGTTCTGGCTGGCTCCAATGTAACCCTGGATGTTGGCAATGGCATTGGTGGGGCCAGCCAGCAGAGAGGTGCCGGTGTCCACAATGGCCTGGCAGCTCCCGCTGCAAGCGATGGTCTGTCCGTTCATGGTGATGCTGAGGGTGAGATGTAAGCAAGGGTCCTGTTAGCTCCCAGGGGATACATCTCCCCAAGGAGGACCTGGGTGACCCCAGAGCGTCCCTCCTCCCCATCCGCTGGCCAAGACGTAGAATTTTAGCTTCCCTCATCCGCATACTCATTTATTCATGCATTCATTTACTCCACAAATATTCACTGAGTGCCTACTCTGTGCAAGGCATGGGAGATGCAAAGCCAAGCAAGACAGCCGCGCCGTTTCCGGCGACCGGGGAGTTCACGGTCTAGCTGAAAAGATAAGTTACAGTCCAGGGAGAGCAGGAGGAGCGGGGCACATGGCAGGGGAACAGAGACACGATCCAGGGTGAGGGTGGTGGGGGTAGGAAGCACCCAGGGGAGGCTTCTCCAGGAAGCAGAAAATCACAGGTTGCCAAGGAGGTGAAGAGCTGGAGGACGACATACAGGAAGAGGGGATGGCAGGTGGCGAGTGATGGAGACAAGAGGAGCAAGGCTGGGAGTCGGAGGAACTGACGAAGTTTTAGCACAGCCGGAACAGCCATCAAGTGACCAGCGCATGCTGGCCTACCCAGGACGATCTTGGCTTTCGCTGAAAATTCTCACGTCCCAGGAAACTGCTCCCTCATGGGTAAACCTGGGTGATGGGTCACCCTACCAAGCCAGCCAAGGGAAGAACAGCTGGGGAATGAGGCTGCATGGGGGACGGGCAGGCCCTGAAGGGGAAGGTGGGAAGGAACAACTTCCCACCTGAAACAACTTCTCAGCCGTTTTGTCCTATCCCTAGGCTAACCGTGACATTTTCCTTAGAATGGTAGGAGCGTGTGCCAGTTCACGGGTCCCCTAAATGCTGAGATATGTGGACAGCCGGGTCCTCCAGCTCTCCCTGGGGATGCTGGTAGATTGTCCTGCTTCAGTGACCAGAATGAAAGTAGTTGTCTCATCCTTGCTGTGTCTGGGGGTCTCAGACAGCTCTTGTCCAGTGGGGTACCTTTCTCGGAGTCTCTCTGCCTTGGCCAACTTCCCCCTTCTCCTCCTGGGGCACATTTCCCTGTGCTGGCTGTCCCAGGGGGATTCTGGAAAGCTTAGTCGACTATGAGTCTGTAAAGAAATGGGACCTGGGGCCCATGCCAGGACGTTGCCCATTTACGGTGACCTCACCTATCCACGGTGATCTGCCAGTAAGTCTCAGAAGAAAGGGGCACCCAGTTCAGGTTTCCAGTGTAGTAAGAAGAATCGATGCCACCAAACATCACCACGCTGCCACTCTGGTCATTGCTATGGAAAATGGGGGGAAAAGACAGGAATTCATTCCTTCATTCCTTCACTCATTCAACAGAACATAAAGCATGTGCATTCTAAGAGCTACCTTTTTCCTTTTTTTTGCTATGGAATTTTTGGCCTCTATTTTAAGTGGAATCACTTTGACTCGGCTCTTGCCAGTGCCAAGAGCTATGCCGAGTGTGTGACAGACAAGGTTTCTTTTCATCTTTACACTAAGGCCCATGCCATGGCCACTGTGATTATTATTATTTCCACTTTACAGAGAGAAAACAGAGGCCCAGATCGGTGAGGCAACTTGCCCAAGGTCACACAGCCAGAGAGTGGCAGAACCCAGATTAGAACCCGAGTCTTTCTGGTATCAAAGTGTGTGGTTTCCACCATATACTCTCGTCGCTGTGGGNCTGTCCTGGTTCCCTTTTAAAAAGTCATCTCGAATTCATCAATCAGTCAACAAGTATTTACTGAGCTCCTACTGTGTGCCAGGCCCTGCTCTTGCTGCTGGGGATTCAACAGTTACATGTCGAATGGGCAGTCCTTGCCCTGGTGGGTCTGAAACACGCAGTCCCGCGAATGCACGATGGCTGGTTGTGCCCAGCGCCATGAAAGGAAAGGAGGGCTGGGGTCAGGGAGAAGGTGGTCAGGGAAGGCCTCCCAGGGAAGCGATGTCTGAGTGGAGATCTGCAGGATGCTACGCAGGTCAAGAAGAAGGGAACAGCAACCCAGGCGAAGGGAACAGTGTGTGCAGAGGTCTGGAGGTGGGTAAGAAGTTTGGGTCTCTGTGGAGGTGGAAGAAGGCCAGGGTGGTGGGATCTCAGGGTAAGAGGGATCCAGGTGAGGCAGGGAAGGTACGTAGGGACGAGAACCTGCAGGGCCTAGGAGCCACACCAAGGATTTATGGTGTTATCCTAAGTGCAATTGCAAGGCAGTAATGAAAGGTTTTAAGCAAGGAAGGGATGTGAGGATGTGATCACATTTGTGTTTCAAAAAGATCGTTCGGCTGTCCCTTCCTAGAACTCAACATCTTATATTTGTGTGAGTAAGAAATGACAAATTGCAGGATGACGTGACAAGATGGTATCCAAAGCCATTTTGTTCTGGTCACCCCAAAGTCACTCCCTCTCAGCAGGGAGCCCTCAGGCCAGTGTCTCAAGGCGAACAGTCTGGAATCCAGCTGTCAGCACAGGCAGGAGCTATGGGACTTTTTCCAATGTGTGTGCGGAGGAACACAGGATATAATAGGTTTACTAGCAAAAGAGGAACTGGGCTCAAGCTAAGCTGAGTTAAAGTGAAACAGATCACGTTGCAGCAGGACTTCTCAGAGCCTTTGACTGGGATACGTGCCTTGTGAACCTCGAAGAATGGCCTAGAATGCAGCATGTTCCATACTTATTTTGAAACTTTGGTTTTCATTGAACATTTTTCTAACAAACCACTCTAAGAAATGCTGCTCTATTTCCTGTTTGCATTTCTAGGGCATATTTGCTAATGAGCTTGCTCAGTTCCTTCTCTCGTAACCTTTTTGCAGGGAACTGGAAAACCAAGCTCTTTCCTGATGGGGAAACGCACCAGTTCAGTGTCTTGTACCCAGAGTGTGGAGGGACCTCAATTGTTAATTTGGAGAAACCAGCTAATCACAGACAGCAGCCTGGTAGATTGTGGGGTGTCAGCTTCTGTCACCTCTCTAGCCCATGTCTTACAGTTAATACCACCCTGCCTGGCCACCCTACTTAGGAATGTCATCATCTGTGGCCACCTGTCCTTGGTCTCTCTCCTTTTCTCATAATCTACTGGCTTTGGAAGAAATAAAACAGTGATTCCCTTAACCAAGAATTAGGTACTCTGTTCCATGAGAAGGCAATGGGCCAACGCTTTTGGTCCCCAAGTCTTTTTTTTATTTTATTATATTTATTTTATTTATTTGTTTATTTATTTATTTATTTATTTATTTATTT